TTACAGCAAATCAGATACTTAATAGAGTGCCTCACTCAAAGACAAATGTAATTCCATATGAAAAATGGAAAGGTAGAAAACCCAATTTGAAATATTTCAAAGTGTGGGGGTGTCTAGCCAAAGTCCAAGTTCCTATACCTAAGAGGGTAAAAATAGGACCTAAGACTGTGGATTGTGTATTCATTGGATATGCCACAAATAGTAAGGCATGTCATTTTTTGGTTCATAAGTCCGAACATCCGGATATTCATGATAATACGGTAATGGAATCAGATAGTGCTGAATTTTTTGAACATATCTATCCGTATAAAACTAGACTTGAGTCATCTAGTGGGGGGATCTAAACAACCCAGAGAAGAACCAAAAGAGAATGAACAAAATGAAGAAAGTCCAAGACGCAGTAAACTTCAAAAGACATCTACTTCATTTGGATCAGATTTTGTAACATTTCTTCTTGAAAGTGAGCCTCAAACATTCAAGGAAGCAATGTTGTCTAGCGACTCAACCTATTGGAAGGAGGCTGTTAATAGTGAAATTGAATCAATCTTAAGCAATCATACTTGGGAGTTGGTTGATATTCCTCCAGGGAACAAACCCTTGGGTTCAAAATGGATCTTTAAAAGGAAGATGAAAGACGATGAAACTATTGACAAATATAAAGCAAGACTTGTTGTCAAAGGTTTTAGACAAAAAGAAGGTCTTGATTATTTTGACACATACTCACCAGCGACTAGGATTACATCAATTCGGATGTTAATTGCACTAGCTGCAGTATACGGTCTTGAAATTCATCAAATGGATGTAAAAACAGCCTTCTTAAATGGAGAGCTTGAAGAGGAAATTTACATAGAACAGCCTGAGGGTTTTGTAGTTCCTGGTAAAGAAAAGAAAGTGTGCAAACTTATTAAGTCACTTTATGGGCTAAAACAAGCACCAAAACAATGACATGCAAAGTTTGATCAAACCATGTTGTCAAATGGATTTAAGATCAATGAATGTGATAAATGTGTTTACATTAAAGATACTCCAAATCAGGAAGTTATTTTATGCCTATATGTAGAATATATGCTTATAATGAGCAAAGACATTGCTAATATAAAAGCTACAAAGCGTATGCTTGCTAGTAAGTTTGATATGAAAGATTTAGGAGTTGCTGATGTAATATTAGGAATTAAAATTCTTAAAACTCCTAACGGTCTAGCATTGTCTCAAACTCATTATATTCAAAAGATACTTGAAAAATTCAATTTTTTGAATTCTAAAAGGGCAAAGACTCCAATTGATGTAAATCTTCATCTTGCAAAGAATAAAGGCGAAAGTCAGTTTCAATTGGACTATGCTAGCGTATTGGGAAGCTTAATGTATGTCATGAATTGTACACGACCAGACATAGCTTGCGCTATCAGTAAACTAAGTCGATACACAAGTAATCCTAATCATAATCATTGGTTGGCAATGAAGAGAGTTTTGGGATACTTAGATGACACTCAAAACTATGCTTTACATTGCAACAAATATCCAGCCGTTCTTGAAGGATATAGTGATGCAAATTGGATTACTGGGTCAACTGAAACAAAATCCACAAGTGGATACGTTTTTACTATTGGTGGAGGAGAAATATCTTGAAAATCATCCAAACAAACATGTATAACTCGCTCTACAATGGAGTCTAAATTCATTGCTTTAGACAAGGCAGGTGAAGAAGCTGAATGGCTCCGGAATTTCTTAGAAGATATTCCATTTTGGCCCAAACCAATGGCCCCTATATGCATACATTGTGATAGTCAAGCTGCAATAGGAAGGGCTGGAAGCATTATGTATAACGACAAGTCTCGTCACATAAGACGAAGACATAACTCTGTGAGACAACTACTCTCTAGAGGAATTATCACAATTGACTATGTGAAGTCAAAAGATAATGTGTCGGATCCACTTACAAAAGGCCTAAATCGAGAGGGAGTTGAGAAATCATCGACGGGAATGGGACTATGGCCGAGAACAAGTCATCGTGGCGGTAACTCTACCTAGAAGACTGGAGATCCCAAGATCTAGGTTCAAGGAGATAAAACAAAGTCATTGATGACGGTTCAACATTGTCAAAGGATAAAAAATATTATTATTATTTTATGATCCATTCTCATGATGAGACAATGTTTAGTAACCAGGATAAAGACATAAGGACTTTTTAATGGTTTCTAAGTTTGATACAGGGAATATCAAATGGTGTATCTATGGGATAACACATTTAGAAATCACCTATGTAAGTGTGAAGTGTAAGCCGCTTTAAGGAGAATCCGGTAAGGCCAGTTCTTTAAGCACTTACTATCCAAGATGTGTTCATGGCTGAAACGAACAAAACAATGAGAACTAAGAACAGTTCAAGGGTTGATTGTGTGATATATATTGTCTAGGTATACATCAAAGCTTGACGGTTCAAAGATATCAAATCTACCGATTGACCGAGTATATCCGATATATGTTCAGTACGAAAAGCTTAAAGGGAAACCTACTTATCCAGATGCGATTAACCTTTACCTACAAGACACACAAGTTTTTTCATGCATATGTTTTAACAATAGCCTTCCCCATTCATGTGGGGGATTGTTGGGTTTTAGCAAGTGTGAATGGGAAAAGAAAAGAGAGAATATCAAAAGTGAGGGAACTACTTTGGAGGAAAAATGAAAAGTCATTTGCAAAGTGCAAATGAAAAGTCATTTATTTGGATTTGAATTTGGCAAATGATGTGATTGATTGATAAATTTTTTTGGACAAAATTTATTTAATCAATTTTTGTTAAATTAAATAAATCTTGTTAATATTATCTCTTATAAATTTGCGGGTAACGGTAACATTCCGAAAAGTTGTTACTTTTTTGAAAAATCGTTACTTTCCAAAAGTAGTTATTTTCCTAACAGACACAATTTTTCGAAAAGTTGTTATTTTTTTCCAAAAGACACAACTTTCTGGATAAAATGGGTCTGAACAAATTTCACTGAACAGACATGTTCCTTGCTGAAAATGGCTATAAAAGGAAGTCAATTTTTTATTTTTTAATCATAGAAAATTTTTCTTTCTCTGCATTTATTTTTCTCTCAAATAAAATCAAAGTGTCGATCGACTGAGTCTGTGTGACTTGTTGCTGTTCTTAAGTTCGTAGAAGTTAAAGAAGTTTGAGGTACCGCTATTTCTTTAACAGGTTTAATCCGTTTTATCTTGGGAGAAATTAATTCATAACCTTGGGTACAGTGAGGGGATTAAATTTCTTAAGGACACACAGTAGTTTCTGTGGACTCGAATTAATTCTTGTATTCTATATTATTTTCTGCTTCATCTTATTTCTGTTTCTGTTTCTGTTTATTAACTTTATAAATACAAATTGTTGTAAGAATAACAGTGTATAGCTAATACATAACGTGAAAAAATATATCAAACTAGAGACTACTAATACACAAAACTAATATATATATTATTTTTATTATTATACTCTACCAAACAACCCTTTAATATTTTAAGTCAATGTCATCATGCATAGAAAAGATTTAATCAATGCATGTCTCAATTCTTTTTTTCTTTTTTGGTATTCCTACATTTTATAGTTAGTTATATTTTTTAAGGGAATTAAATTACGTGGTTAAGCAAATTTATACTATTTAATTAGTCATTATAATTATAGTTTGCTATTATTACCACTTGCGACTAATATTAACAATTATTTACGTGGGATGACTTCGAGTTAGTATGATTAGCCACGTTTATATAATTCACCACATTTGTATAATTCACAACTGACAATTCTTCGTTTGATTTGTGTATGTATACGGTGATTAGTATTTAGATATGACAATGATTTCCTTTGTTTTTCAGTTTCATCACCATATACATTTAATCCTTTTGTGTATGTAATGCAAATTGTATAACTGCTTAAAGTTCATATGTCTATGTTTCTATCAATTCGTTATTTTAAGTTTTATCATATTTGTATAATTCCAGACTTAATATTACTCAACTATACAAAAACTCGTGAGTTATACAAATGTATACGTGAATTATACAAACGAGGTGTGAATTATCCAAATCATTGCCCTCTCTCGCTTTTCTTTCTCCTCCCCTCCCAATTTCGCTCGCCAGATATACCAATACGTATGTATATCGGTTACATATATACAATTATCTAACCGGTATACATATACAATTCACCTCTCTACCCTCTCTCGCTCGCCTCTCTCCTCCATCTCCCAATCTCGCTCGTCATTCTCCTCCCCGTAACATGTAGCTACGAATCATAATTAACAAACTATAGCTATGAAGCATACTTAAGATATTTTTGAGTGTCTTTAATCATTAATGTTAGACTTCGGTTGCATATTTATCAACCTACTCTTCAAACCTTTCAAACATAACTAACTTTCATATGATCATCACCTTATGGGCTTACCTATGTATTCATGTGGTAGTAATTATCTATCACCCATATATCAACAGAAAAATTATGATTATGAAAACCTTATCAAACGTAAGTTTTTTGTTTGTTGTGCATCTCGAAAGAACAAAGTAACAAGTCAAGCCTCACGTCATTACTCTAGTATCTTTATATTAATCTCTTTAAACAATCGACTTTGATATTAATTATTGAGCTAACACAATCAAAAGTAATTTTGTAAATATTTTTTGCTTTGAGTTTAACGCATGATTTCTCCAATAATTTAACAAACTAAGTTCCACATATCGTCTTGTTGAACTAAGTTGCACATGGTCATATAAACGTCTCATCACCTTATGGACTTATTTGGATATTTACTATGTGCTGCTTGAAATGGTAATGTAATGTCAAACTCACTCGAATTTTTTTTGGGAGGGGGGTTGGGGGGGGGGGGGGGTTACAATAAAACTAACCAGCGTAGTCATTGAGAATTGTTCAGATGTTAAATTAACTATCAAATGTAAATATTAACTGGTTCGAATCATAACAAAATTTATGTATTATTTATACGAAATAAAAAATGAAATAATTAATATTTGCATAATTCTAACGAACTGTCAAACCACTCTACATATATAGCACGCAAGGAACATGTTGCTAAATCAAGATTATAGAAACTAATTAGAAGACAGCATATGATGAGGCTGGCCTTCCATTCTGTTGTATTAATTACTTGGCAGTGCAAAATTTTTTGTACAATGCCAAACCACAAAAACATCACTATACATCATAATTCTAAATAAGTTAGAGTCGACTATATGAATTATATTATACATATTGCTAGATCCCCATTTGATAACAATAACAAAAAGATTTTGCTAATTTTAAAAGTGAAGTCATAAAAGATTGAGACAAAATCAGAATTTAACTTTATAGATTTCAATAATCTGACCTAATTGATCTTCCGTTTCCATCGATTCACTGTGTCTCAATGTCGAAGAAACAGAGGAATTTAGTTCATCCATGGCAGCTGCTGCTTGAACATCTCTAGGTGAAATTGACGCTGGACGAGGCAACGATTCAACAAGTTGAGGAAAATTGAGAATCGCTGAATTCCCTTTGATGCTAAGCGCAGCAACGTCATGAGCTCGTGCAGCCATTTCAGGTGTTGGATAAGTACCCAACCAAATTCTCGATTTCTTACGCGGTTGTCTAATCTCAGAAACCCATTTTCCCCAACTTCGCATTCGAACTCCTCTGTATACTGGGTAAGTTTCATCTCTTGTTCGTTTCTCCTTTTCCTCTGTTTTTGACACGGATATGGAAGATGATTGTACAAGCTCCGCCATTAATTAATGGTGATTGAAGTGGACAGTTACACAGATGCTCAGAGAAGTTTGTATCGAATGCCAAAAAAGTAGGGAATATATATATATACGAAGAGAGAAGAAAAATCATGTAATTCGAATTACCATGCTAACGAGAATGAAAGAGAAACATAAAGGATAGTCCGATGCATATTCTTCGTCGAAAAAAATTAAAAGAGGTAAAAATAAAATAATTAAGACGTAATTGGATCTTTAATCATATTATTGCATGTATTTGAATTCACTTGCGCTATTAATGCTTAGAAATTTATAATTTTAATAATATATATCTTAACATATAATAGAGTGTATAATTAATGCTAGTATAAAAAATATTTTTTCTATTCATAATTAATTGTTATGTTTTTCTTTTTAGAGTTAAATTATAAAAACTTTAACCAATAATTTATGATGTATAGTTTCATCATATTTATATGCAAAAAAAATTGTAATTTATAGTACTTTTCATAAGTTTTTAAATATATATTTTTTTTAAAAAAAATTATTAAATTAACATAATCTAATTTATCTTTAAAAATAAGTCAAATTGACTTTAGAAAAAAACACAACATGACAAATAAAGTGGACAGAGGGAGTATATGAAACAAGGTATTATTAATAGCAGTTGTGGAGTAACCTACAATATCCCTTCGTCGAAGAATTACATTGTATAGTTAGATAATATATATATATATATATATATATATATATATATATATATATATATATATATATATTGACACGTTTTGACTTTTACACGATTTTATGTCTTTATATTTTGACACTCCTCGGTCAAAATTATGATATTGCCACTGACTAATAAATAAAACCAATGCATGCATTGGTTTTACCAGTACACTACCAAATAACAAATTTTAAGTTAAAATAATCAAAATAAGTTAAAAATTTTGAAATAAAATTTCCAAGTCAAAACCAAAAAGTCAATCACAAAAATATTTAGGTATAAGGAATAAAAAATTAAATTCACTCTCTGATTGAAAAAGTGTATCAACCTAAGAAACTATTGCCTCACATTAAATAGCCTCACACAATAAATTATCAATCATGGAATAAGTTTTTTCTACCCAACCAACACAACACATTGATACAATAAAATAAAAAAGTGAAATCACATTAAAGTGATGAAAATCACATTGCCACTTCACTAACGAGGTCACTATATAAATACGTCACGAGGTGTAATTGGACACCTATTCACATAAAAGTTTCTTTTTTATGTGTATAATAAATAAAATAGTAAAAATTAGCAAAAAAAAACAAAAAAACAAAGTATATTTAATGAGCTTACGTTGCTCGAAAACAACATAAAGTGAAAATTAATTTTGGAAATGAAATTAAAGCTTTAAAATAATATTTATTCATAAGTAAAATAAATTATCAAGTAGTACTATCATTGTATTTCAATATTTGAGAGATTAATGAGTAGAATAACATTTCTTATTTAAATTACTTACAAATAATGGTAGATTTAGCTAATTAAAAAGGTGTTATATTTCTGAACACATACGTTTACTGTGGTCTTTTTCAGCTCAATATCATAATCATCCACGTATTTTCGTTTATGTGTTCGTTAGAGATTGCTCAGTGTTCCTATATTAATGATTTTCCGTTATATTAGTGATGTAACGTGTGAACATAGGTGGAATTAAAGATTGATACATTAGTGATATTCAATTGAGGAAATTTCAAATAGTTTTGAGTTTATAATTTGAGAAAATAAGGAGATAGATAATGATGTTACATATCGTATTGAAATGGAGGTATACAGTTGAGATAATATATGATAAAAATATGTTACGAAGATTTAAATATAAATGATTAGACTTATTGTATTGTATGAGATAAGGTGTTGATCAAACAAACGAACATGTTTAGAAAAATGGAGATGAGGAAAGTGAGGTTGAGCGCTAGTTTGAGCATGTGAAGAGAAGGTGCTCGAATATATCATAAATTAAGGAGATGTGAGAGGTTAACTATAATAGGTTTTAAAAGAGTCAAAGGTTAAAAAATAGTTTCTAAAAAAGTCAAACTTAAGCCTTTGTTAGGTTAAAAATATGAGAAGTAAAGGAGTACCATTGTTAACTTCTATAAGTCATATTAAACGTATTTTAAGTTATTTTTAACTTTTGTGAGCGTGATTAGGGAAGGGGGGGAGGGTAGAGAGTAGATAGAGCTAAATTGTATCTGTATATCAGTTAGATAATTATATATATGTAACTAATATGTATATGTATCAATTATTGTATTTATATATTTGTACACAATTTGATTTCGTACACAATTGAATCGAACTAAAACATTTGAATTTGTATATCCAATCTCTGTTGTTTTATACAAATACAAATATACATTGTATTTGTATAATTTACGTTTGTATAGAGCGCAACAGAGAGAGAAAGGCAAAAGAGAATTAGAAAAGGAAAAAAATATATTTTTATAATTATAAGTATACAAGGCAGAGAGATAAGTATGTATTTGTATATCCCATCTCTTTCGCTTTATACAAACACAAACATAAATTATGCATTTGTATTTGTATAAAGTAAGAGAGATTGGTAGAAGAGAAGCGAGAGAGAGACTAGGAAGGGAGATGAGAGAGGCGAGGGAGAGATGACCGAAAAAAGAGAGTGGTGAGCGAGATTTCAGTAAGAGGGGACATAGTGTTAGGTAGTGGAGCCTGATTTATTTTAGGTTTTCCTATTTATTCTCTATTTTAGGTTTTCCTATTTATTCTCTGTAACCAAAAATACTCTGATTTATTAATATAAATATACCTCACCACCGTGGAAGTTTCTTCACGGGATTTTACCACGAAATATTGGGTTTTCTCTTTCTCTCTCTAGATCTCTCATCTCTTTCTCTTGAAAGTTCTTGTGTTCTTCATTCATCTAGTGTGTGTGCGTGAATTCGATCCTAACAACTGGTATCAGAGCTAAGGAGATTCAACACGATCACTGAAGATGGATAGTTCAAAGCTTGGAATCGAGAAGTTTGATGGATCCGATTTCAGTTTCTGGAAGATGCCGGACCGGGGTGAAGCCGGAATCCATGACGGAGGAGAAGTGGAAACTCAAGGATCGGCAGGCTCTAGGGTTGATCCGGTTGACTTTGTCAAGAAACGTGGCGTTCAACATCGTGAAGGAGAAGACTACGTCTGGTCTGTTGAAGGCACTGTCAAACATGTATGAAAAACCATCGGCTATGAACAAGGTATATTTAATGCGTAGATTGTTCAATTTACAGATGTCTGAGAATGGATCCATTTCTGATCATATAAACCAGTTCAATATGATTGTGAGTCAACTCAATTCTGTGGATATTAATTTCGAAGATGAAATTAAGCCGTTGATTTTGATGTCATCTCTGCCCGAGTCTTGGGATACTGTTGTTGCTGCGATTACCAGTTCCCGTGGATCTAAGAAACTGAAGTTTGATGAAATCCATGATGTTGTTCTTAGCGAAAGTATTCGCAAACGAGAAGCGGGAGATTCATCGGGCAGTGCTCTCAGCGTTGATCGAAGGGGGAGAAGTAAGACGAAAGGCCAAAATCAACATGGTCGATCAAAATCAAAGAATCGAGTAAAATCACTGAACAGATCAAACGTGACTTGTTGGAACTGTGGAGAAAAAGAACACTTTCGGACGAACTGTACAAAGCCAAAGAAGAAACAGAATCATAAATTTGAGATGTGATTCTGTAAATTCAGCAGAGGACATTGGGGATGCTCTAATCCTTAGTGTGAACAGCCCGGTTGAATCATGGATTTTGGATTCTGGTGCATCTTTCCATTCGTCTACAAGCAAGGAGTTGTTCCAAAATTTTAAATCTGGAAATTTTGGAAAAGTATATCTTGCTGACAATAAAGCCTTAGAGATTGAAGGAAAGGGGGATGTTTGCATAAAGACCACCTCGGGAAACCAGTGGACATTGGAGGATGTCAGATATATTCCTGGGATCAAGAAAAAGCTGATCTTTGTTGGTCAGTTGGATAGTACGGGATATGCAGCAGAGTTTGGGAAAGGTTCGTGGAAGATCGTGAAAGGTGCTATGGTAGTAGCTCGTGGCACCAAATCTGGAACCTTGTACACCACTGCAGGGTGTATAAACATGGTCGTTGTTGCTGAAGGTGCTTCCGGTTCATGTCTGTGGCACAACAGACTTGGACACATAAGTACTAAACGAATGATGATGCTGGTTGCAAAAGGAGCATTAGAGGGTCTGAAGTCTGTTGATATGGGTCTTTGCGAGAGCTGTGTTATGGGCAAACAGAAAAGGGTAAGCTTCACAAAGACTCCTAGAGAGCCAAAGAAAGTGCGGTTAGAAATGGTTTATACAGATGCTTGGGGACCATCTCCAGTATCATCACTTGGAGGATCCAAATTCTATGTTACCTTCATTGATGATTTTAGCAGGAAGGTATGAGTTTACTTCTTGAAGCATAAGTCAGATGTGTTTGCAACTTTCAAGAAGTGGAAAGCTGAAGTTGAGAATCAGACCGGTTTGAAAGTCAAATGTCTAAGGTCTGACAATGGAGGAGAGTATGACAAATCAGAGTTCAAGGCATTCTGTGCAGCTGAGGGAATCAGATTGATGAGAACAGTTCCTGGTAAGGCAAGGCAGAATGGAATTGCTGAGAGGATGAACAGAACATTGAATGAGCGTGCAAGGAGTATGAGGATACATTGTGGGCTGCCCAAAACACTTTGGGCGGATGCTGTGAGCACAACTGCAAACTTGATCAACAGGGGACCATCAGTTCCTTTAGGGTTCAAGATTCCAGAGGAGGTGTGGACAGGAAAAGAGCTCAAGTACTCACACTTGAGGACTTTTGGTTGCACTGCTTATCTTCATGTTGATCCAGAAAAGAGAGACAAGCTTGACGCCAAGGCTGTGAAGTGTTACTTCATAGGATATGGTTCTGATTTGTTTGGTTACGGGTTTTGGGATGACAAGAATAGAAAGATCCTCAGACATTGTGACGTGACATTTAATGAGTCTGTCCTGTACAAGGACAGAGACCAGAAGGTTTTAGAGATTACAAAGCAAGTGGGAGTTGAGGTTGAGTTGGAGAATAATAACCCTAGAGATGTCGAAGCAGATACTAAACCAACTCCTACTGAAGAATCTGAAGTGGAGCAAGTTACACCTGAGCAGGTGTTAAGGAGATCATCCAGATCCATCAGGGCACCAGATAGGTATTCACCTTCATTACACTATCTATTGCTGACTAATGAGGGGGAACCAGAGTCTTTTGATGAGGCCCTACAGGTGGAGGATTCGATCAGGTGGGAGCAAGCCATGGATGATGAGATGAGGTCACTTGAGAAGAACGACACATGGGTGTTGACTGAGCTACCTGCAGGGAAGAGAGTTTTGCTGAACAAGTGGGTGTTCAGAATTAAGACTGAACCAGATGGCAAAAGAAGGTTCAAGGCTCGTTTAGTGGTTAAAGGAAATTCACAAAGGAAAGGTATTGATTATGCTGAAATATTCTCTCCTGTTGTGAAGTTAACCTCTATTCGAATTCTATTGAGTATTGTTGCATCGGATGCATCTAGAGCAAATAGATGTAAAAATAGCATTTCTACATAGAGATTTGGACAAAGAGATCTATATGCAGCAACCGGAAGGATTTGTGGTTCCAGGCAAGGAACACATGGTGTGCAAGCTCACCAGAAGCTTGTATGGACTAAATCAAGCACCAAGACAGTGGTACAAGAAGTTTGACTCCTTCATGACCAATAGTGGATTCTGCAAAGCTGAAAATGATCGTTGTTGTTACTTTAAGAAATACACTGATTCATATGTCTTTCTACTCCTGTATGTGGATGATATGTTGATTGCAGGATCTAGTATGAGGGAGATTAACAATCTGAAGACAAGGTTGTCTGCAGCGTTTGAGATGAAAGATTTGGGTCTAGCAAAGCAGATTTTGGGGATGGAGATTTTTCGGGATAGATCTGCTATCACTTTAAATCTATCTCAGGAGTTGTACATTGAGAAGGTGCTGAGCAGATTTAGGGTTAATGATGCTAAACCCAGGACTACTCCATTGGCAAATCACTTCAAATTGTCAAAGGAGCAGTCACCCAAGACTGCCGAGGAGCATGATCATATGACACTTGTTCCATATGCTTCAGCAGTTGGTAGTTTGATGTATACTATGGTCTGCACTAGACCTGATATAGCACATGCAGTGGAAGTTGTTAGCAGATATATGGCGAACCTTGGGAAAGAGCATTGAGAAGCTGTGAAGTGGCTTCTGAGATATCTGAGAGGTACATCCAGTACTTCACTTTGTTTTGGCAAAGGCAAGGTGGCTCTACAGGGTTTTGTGGATGCTGATCTTGGCGGGGATGTTGACTCAAGCAAGAGTACATCCGGGTACATTTACACCATAGGTGGAACAACAGTGAGTTGGATGTCCAGGCTTTAGAAGTGTGTTTCTCTTTCATCTACTAAAGCTGAGTATGTGGCAATAGCTGAAGCTGGGAAAGAGATGATATGACTGGCAGATTATCTTGAGGAATTGAGCAAAAAGCAGAGCGAAACGATTCTTTACTCAGATAGCCAGAGTGTCATACAGTTGGTGAAAAATCCAGTCTATCATTCGAAGACAAAGCACATCAGAAGGCGATGTCATTTCACTCGCAGGGCAGTAGAGGATGGTGATATGTGCTTGGAGAAGATAGAGGGTGCAAAGAACCCGCAGACATGTTGACGAAATGTGTTGATGTTAGGAAACTGAGGTTATGTAAAACCTCGGTTGGTCTTCTGTAGTTGTTGCTACAGATGTTGCGGTGCGGTAAAGATTTTGATGATGAAGAGATTTTTTTTTAAGAATGTATTTTTTGGATGACTGAGTCAGTGGGAGAATTGTTAGGTAGTGGAGCCTGATTTATTTCAGGTTTTCCTATTTATTATCTATTTTAGGTTTTCCTATTTATTCTCTATAACCAAAAATACTCTGATTTATTAATATAAATATACCTCACCGCCGTGGAAATTTACTCACGGAATTTTACCACGAAATATTAAGTTTTTTCTTTCTCTCTCTAGATCTCTCATCTCTTTCTCTTGAAAGTTCTTGTGTTCTTCATTCATCTAGTGTGTGTGCGTGAATTCGATGCTAACACATAAGCGAAAGAGAATGTAATTATAGGTAGAAGTAAGTTCGGAATTTTAATTAATGCAAACTGTAACTATGTTAGCTAATTAACTAGTATATGTTTAACGAGGCCTAAATATTTGGTATGTTGTCCAACCCATCTTTTTTCTTTAATGGGTTGGGCTTTCCAACTGAAGTCCATTAACAGACTTCCGGCGACACGAAGCTTGACAACTGCAAACGGAAGGTTACGACGATCAACGTCTCCGACAATGAGTGCAGGTGAATTTACTCTTCTCTCCCATTTCTTTAGGGTTTGTGCTCTCTCAATTTGTATGCATTCATATAGGAACAAATATATACAGTTTGATTTATCTAGCTGACCCGAATTATTTTGGGATTAATAACAAACCATCACAATATACTCAGTGTAATTGGTGTCTGGGGAGCGTAGAATATATGCATACATTACCTCTACCTTCTGAGCAAGTAGAGAAGTTGTTTGTGAAATGGTAAAATTATTTGAGAAATGAATATAGAGGATTTGTATAGCCATTGCAACTAATTTGAGATTGAGACATAATAAGTTTAATAGGTAATGATCATAATTGATCTTCTATACCCTACCAACATTGAAATGATCCTAGAAAATGTCAAATTAAAACATTTTTCTCCACTGAAAACACACTCTATTGTGGGTTCTTTTACAGCCTTCATGGATTAATCATAGAGCAAATGTGTTGGATAAGGTTGAATTATATGACTAATCGATTAATCCGGAGTAATTTGACGATATATTTTCGTGTTTGCTAGATTTATAATGGAAGGATTGTACATGGGTGGCACGGGACCTGTTGTTTTAACTTTGTGGTTTTACATTGTAGATCTTTGACCTTATGAAACAATCTAAACAAGGTAATAAGAATGTTTAGTCAAATGATTGATCATCTGTTTGATGAGTATCAAACTTTTTTTACCTATAAAGTTTAGTTGGCGTGTATTATTATTGTTATATTTGATGACAAAGGAAACCTGTAGCCGCTATCCTTTGGGTGCGCACAGGGTAAAACCAACACTCCTATGCAGTAGCTCGCAAAACACGCAACAGAGATAATTCGCACTATGCAAGCTCGGTGCATCATGTGTTATTTGTATTTTTATGACATTGAGTGTAGATAATTGTTTCCTCACTTGGTGTTTGATTTGATGCAAGTGCCTAGGTGAGGGATCTTTGTACTTTGTGACCCCCCCCCCCCCCCCTTCTCTCTTCTCTTTTGTTACCTATGTCTTGTCACTCGTGTTATACAACTTTTGTCTTCTATTTTATGAAGGGGGAGCATTTGGTGGAAATAGAGGACTGAGACCAGTGCCACCTGAAAAAGGAGTTTTTCCTTTGGACCATATGCATTTATGTGACCTGGTATAATATTTCAAAAGATCTCATTATTTATTGATTTTGTTATTGTCTTCTGTTTTCCCTTCCCTTCTTTTAAGATAAAACTGTAAAAGTATAATAGAAAGTTTTTGATAGAGCATCTATTATCTTTTGCAAGGTTCATTCCTTCTTGTTGCTTACTATACTATTTGATTTGTTTTAGGAGAAGAAAGAGTACCTCAATTGTCTTAAATCCTCTGGGCATAAATCTGACAACTGTAGACACCTCTCTAAAAAGTACCTGGTGTGCCGTATGGAGAAGTAAGTCCATTGACATGATTTAGTAAACACTTGCACTGTTTAGTTTTTAGTATGCGAAGTTATTCTAGTGTACAGCTTCTGGTAGTCAACAAAGTACTTTCTTGCACTACAATATTGAACCACATACTTTATTCATGAGTTCATACAACTGCCAAGATTGCGAGTTCTGCACAAGGCTTGCCTCTTAATTCTTGTCATGCTTACAGAATTTTAGTTTAAGGTCATCTCCACATTTTCAATATGTTCAAGTTTGTTAAGACTATGCCTTTAAACTTCTATATTTCCTTTTTTTCTTCTTCTGTGGGCACAAGAGTTGAAACTTACCTAATTTTGTTAAGTATGACTAATTACCGGTGTTGATTTCATCTCTTCAATTGATTGGTGTTATTATGCCCTGTCTTTATCCAAAAATTGAAGAATGATGTCCCTTGTGGAGTAGGATGGCAGATTATTTAAAATCAGGACACTTGGTTCTAACAAATGTTACCAATTGGTTCAAATTCAGAACTTTTCTGGTTTTCTGCATGCTTTTCGTCAAATATCTCAAGAAAGCATGTGCACAATAGTGGATGAACAAATGCAACAAGCTGGCATTTTTGCCAAGTTTTTGGTATATTATGGATGGTCTTTAATGAATAACAGCACAAATTGTTTCTAGAAAAGCCATAAATATCATTGCATTTGTAAAGAAATGCAGAAACTAGAAGATAAGGGTTTGACACTCTCTTCAGGGGGATTCAGAAACATATAGTATGGTTCTTTTGGTCTAAGATCAATAGTTATATACAGAACCAAACCAATGAAACTATCTAGGACAAGAACAGGAAGAAAAGCATTCAAGAAAGCGATTTCTCTTTTTTGCTTGATTGCACCTCTGTTTAGGACCCAAACAAAATGATAAGAGATCTCATAAAAGGCTAATGTCAAATTCCTGCATTTATGGAATTAGGAGAAGAAACCTTCTCCGTCTTTTTCATTTTGCCCTTTTCCTGTATACTATGTTTCTTTGGCATGTTTTATCTCAACAGAGCTTTCGGCTTTTACTTGAAAGAGAAATAGAACTGAAGAGAAATTCACACACTTGTTCCTACAGTATATTGGTGTTTATAGCAAGTAAATGCAAAGTGATGCCTCCTGGCGAAATAGTTTCATCAGATTTGTCTTTTATATCTCCTTGTATTAATTTATCACCTGCTCCTGTAGGTCTACAGCAACTAATGATCCTCTGTAGGAATTTAGGCTGTAAGAAAATGTTTTATGTTATGTTTGTTTTGCAGGAACTTGATGGCAAAGCAAGACATGTCAGAACTTGGCTTTGGCAAGAACTATGATGCAGAAACTTCTTCAGAGGAAATGGAACAATAGAAAAATGAAAGAATGGAGAAGATCGATAAATTTTGTTAATTCTCTGGGATCCTTTTGAGAAGCCTGGGTAGAAAGTTACACATACAAGCTTCATTATCGTCATGTGAAAACTTTCACAGTTGCTTATAGGAGGTCTTCTTTTTCTAGATTAATGCTTTTTTAACCTCCTTTTTCCCTTTCTTCTGAATTTTGTGTACCTTGAGAGCAAAAATGTATATAGAAAGAGAGAAGGATAAAGAAATGCTATGATAAATTACAGATTGGACAGCTATATTCAGGCTATTGTTCGTTACTTGTTTCTTCCATATCTCTGTTGCTTCAGCAGTGCTTTTCATTTGAATAGTTTCATTTTTTAAAAAAAACGGTTGAACTTAAAAGGTTGAAAATTTGTGGTAATGAGTCCAATTCCCATACTCACATAAGTTACTAATGTATACTATTTTGTGAGTACTTTTAACCTCTACATTAATTATGCATGGATTCCTGCACTCTAATCCAAAAGAATTAAACATAAATTTCATAAATAAACAAAATTTGAGTACCATAGAGCCATAGCTGACAAAGATAGAAAATTTTACAAGTTTATGAAGGTGCACTTGTATATAACTGCTATTAAAAATGTTGCCATAAATAGTGTTATTCAATCAGCTTCATTGATAGACATTTCATCAGGAAATAAGAGTTTAAGATATGGAACAACACTTGGAAGAATGGGCAGATCAGCCAAGTTAACACTCATCAGATCAAAAGCAATGCATGCTTTGTGCATGTATGTTCCATCAAATACTGGGATTTTAGGGTATCTTTGGCTGAAGTGAGTGAGGATGACGCGGTATGCTCCAGCAGCGTCCCCAGCCTCAATAGCTTCCCCCATTGTGCTGTGATTTTTTGCTATAGCCTCTTCCAACATGCCATCTTCAAAAGTAGCCTGCAGCAAAATGGCCCACAATAACCAAACTGTAAGAGGACAATTAATTTGGGATAGAAAGAACGGATTCAACAGAAAATGTTTCTCAGACATTAAGTAACATGCCTCATGTATGAGAAGCGTTGCCTCGCGAGAGGCTTTAACCAATTCTGGACAAGGCCTTGTGTCACCAGAGTAAACAATCTTCCAACCTGGTATTTTCTTCCCAATAACATTAGTCCTATCAGCAAACTTCAGGACGATTCCATAAGCTTGTGGACAATGAATAACGGGAACACTAATCAAAGTCATCAATCCTGCTTGTCTGAGCAGGTTCTTTAGCCTGCTTGTGCTCCCATTAGCATCATTATCATCATTTGACTCAAAAGCCTCCCATGAAGATTCTGTAGTATCCCTACAATCAAGGAACTGCATATCTAGTTCCTCGAGCATTTGGTACCTATCAAGAAATATTTCAAGTTGCCGAGGACCTACAACAATTAAAGGTTCGTGGGGAGTTCCACTGAGTAAATCATGTCTCAGAGCAAGAATTCTTGCAACTCCCGCATGATGATCTGCATGAATATGAGAAATCCAAATACATTTTAAACCCTTCACTGCTTCATCAGCACCTTCAACACCAAATCTGGCGAAAAGAGCAAAGTTTATCACACATATAAGTGTAGGCAAAAAAAAATATGGATATGATAGGCTTATGTTAATGAACTGCCACTTTTACCTTCTTTTTAGTTGTCCCAGTGTTCCTTCACCACAATCTAACAAAATACTTCCATTTAAGAAAAGATTAATAAATATAGAACTAACATTTCGGTATTTTGAAGGCTGCGATGAACCAGTTCCGAGAAAAACTATCTCCATATCTTCTCTTGTTATACCTTCCAAACAGCTCGGTAATGGAGTTTCATGCAACTGTAGCTCTTCAACTATTCCATTGTTCCCATGCCAGAGTTGGCTAATATGTTCAGAAGCACTTATAATTTCTGGAATATTCGAAGTTAGCTCATTTAAGATTTCTGTCCGAGAAATAGTAGCAGGAACATTAGAATTGTCTAATCCAAGCTCTTTGTATGGAAGAAGATGGAACTGTTCCAGAAAACAAAAGTTCATTTTAAGTAAAGAAAGCATCAAAGTAAATAATTAAGCATAAGATACACAGCAACGGATTTTATGGAAATATATGTGTATGTACATTCCTAAGCAAATCAAGTTAGTACATACTTTCTTAGTCCTTTCTATAGGCAAGAACAATATATTTTACTTATAAGAAGTAGCAACTTTCTGATTCCAGTGTAGAACCATTTCAACCGAACTATATCGATTCCCTCACCTTGAGGAGGTTCTCTGCATAAGTGATCTGACATGAAGTTGGAAGTGACAACTGAAAAGAACAAAATCAAAATAGCTGCTCAAGTAGGCAAACATATACACGGTCCAAGTAATTATCAGCCGTAAGATATATTGCTCATCCAAACAGAATTTTAATAAAGGTATACCTCCCTCGGGAACTTTGAGATTGATGGTAAGCTCTTCAATTGCTGAAGAGACCAAAAACCAGGAGAAGGAAATAATTGAGGACACAAGTAGTTAAGTCTTGCAGCAATTCTTGAACTGGATTTCAGAATTGGAATCTCAATATTCTTCCTGCAGATAGCCCACAAGAATAATAAACATATAACAATATAAACAGGAAACATATATTAGAGGAGAAAGCTAGACATGCACTCGGAAAAAAGGGAACATTATAAGGTAATTACGGCTCATGTCGTGCCATTATGTGATGGGCTTCACCAAATCTGGCCATCCATTGCTCATACGCGGGTGTATTTGTTACTGACACAGGGCTAAGGTGTATCAAACAATTTACTTTTTTGCACAGTTCGACAGGTTGTCCTGATATATTCGAGTAAAACGGAGTAAGAGACTGCAAAGATGACAACTCTTGCAGATGAGATGGTGTTGGACAGTCAACAAGGAGCACAATAGGACCGTGAGTGGAAGGCTCCATAACATCGCAAGGGTGAACCTGTGCAGCGAAAAAAATGCAAGCAAAGCACCGAGAACTTAATGAGATAGACTATGAAGTCCACGATAAACTTTGGAAAGAATCTTCCTAACTTACTATGATATTTTGATGATCTGACTCCACCGAATTCCCTCTTTGCAATTGACCATATTTTGGCCCAGGTTCCACTCCGAGAGCAGCAGCCTTATCTGGATAGAACTTCCCTTTGATCTCCGGAAACTCACAAATATAAACCACCGAAAGCTCACCAGGATTTAATTCCACTTCAGCTGTGAGATTCATCCATTGTGCTTGAAGGTCTTCAGCTAAATGACTACCACTAATTAGTGGAGTGTTTGTCTCAGAGGATCCTTCCTTCATTGAGCCACACACTTTCAAGCAACATGGTGGCACGAGAACAGCCGATAGTTTGACAACTCCATCAGTAATGGGAGCAAAAAGACGATCAAACTTACTTGAAGAAGCGCTAGCAACTTCATCTGATCCATTACAGAGAACACTATCTATTTGACCCATGGCAGAATTTGGGATGAATGATTCCATTGCTTTAACCAATAGATAAAGATCCGGAGGACCCGATACATTTACCTGCAAGCAAATGGTATAAGCTGTATCAAATTTTCAAACTCCATTTGTAAGCAACAACACCTCAATCCTAAACAAGCTGGGATCGACTATACGAATTCTCTCTGACCATTTATCTCCATTTAAATTCATCTCAAGCTAATAACGTATAAAACAATAAAAGTAAAAATACAAATAAGAAAAGCGATGAAATTTGTGATGAATAAGTAGTAAGTAAAATAAGTTAATGAGACACTCACTGACATCCCTTCTTTTCCCATCCCAGCCAAAGTCAATAGGAGACCTGCAAGTAAAACAATAGAACTTCTTTGGTGGTTTTAATCAACTGCAATCAATACGCCAGAGTCTTCTCAAGGGTTAGTTTGATCCAGACAGTTAAGTTAACTTTCATATTGTGCTCATTGATAACCAACCTGGGAGTCCACCAACAGTTTCTGAGCAGACACGTGATAGAAATATGTGATCAATCTGGTTAAAAAAAAGACTTTTATGTGTATTTCCCTAGAACAGCAACAAAGTAACTTACACATAATTAGGTTTACAACAGCAAGATAATATATCTGAATACCTGTGACAATGTAATTTTATGCTCTGTCAAGAAGCGTTGCAATCCCTGCAAGCAAAACATAAATAGGTGTTGAGAACTAAGTCCAAGTGTACTTTTTTTTGTGACAAGGGAAATCAACAGCTACTACCCTTTGAGTGTTCACAGGATAAAACCTCCGCTCCTATGCAATAGCTTACAAACCACACAAGAGACGTAACCGCACTAGACAACCAACTGTACATTTTTTATTCTTCCAATTTATCTACAGCAATCCTCTTTTTACAAAGGCAACGAGAACCAAGGAAGAGCAAGAAGGACAAAAGTGGAAAACATTTGTTGAAGGATATTATGAAGAGGAAACCTACTAGAACAATGATAAAGACATAGACAATAGCTAAATCATTTTTTTATTGTTACAAGAAAAATGCCTCCTCGTTCATCTACTAAACATATATTCAACAGAATCGAGAATAGGTGGATCAAACAATTAGGGTTTGTTTGGATGGGCTTATAAAAAGTAATTTATAAGTCATAAGTAGATGGTACCTTACTTTTGACTTTTGCGTTATTTTAGAACTTTTCTGGCCTAAAAGTGGGTGCTTAAAAGCACTTCATAACCTTTTCAAACACCTCCAAAACTAAAAAACTACTTAAAAGTCAAAAGCACCTAAAAATTAAGTTAATCCAAACGGGCACTTAATCCACTATGCCTCAACAGGAATCTAGATGCATTCAGCTGTATAGATCCTCTATACCGTTCTACTGCATTATGCTCATTCTAACAGAATATAGCTGGATTTAGACTTTATATAAACAATATAAAATTAAATGCAAACTAGGTATCTTTTTAGGTCAAATTAGTCTACCAGCTTCACAAAAGCAATAAAAAATGGCCATAATACTCAATCATCATCGTCAACAACAACAACATACCCAGTATAATCCCACAAGTGGGGTCTGGGGAGTATAGTGTGTACGCAAACCTTACCCCCCTGCCTTGGGAGGTAGAGATGTTGTTTCCGATAGACCCTATGCTCAAGAAAACACATAACAAAACACTACGGGAAAAGAAATAACATAAGTGAAGAAGCCACGACCAAAATACTAAAGATGGCATGAAAAAACATTCTGACAAAAGGGAGCAGTATCTACAACAAAATAGATACTATAATCAAAGTACAATCAAATAGATATCGAGATATTGCCAAACTAACTAAATAGA